TACAGTGCCGAATGAAACGATACAACAACAGAAACACACACACACAATCATGCAGCATGAAAGCGGAAAAAATGTGTGCGAATTTTTTTCGTATTTAATTTTAAACAAATAATGACTAACAATTGTGTAAATGAACGTTGAAAAAGGATAGCCACCGTTGAAATAGTTCTGGTGCACATTTCATATTTCATCGCTCGAGTACATGTTAAAAAGTACGATTGGGGGACCAGAGAGAGGGTGGACGGAGTGAAAAATGAAAAAAAGTATATTACATAAAAAAATCGATTTTTATTCGTTGCTATATGCGTTTGACGCGCGCTCTGAGTGTGTCTCAATTCGCTTTTTTCTCCCTAGCTCTCTCGTTCATTCAACTGAATGTCGAAATTCGCGTTAACATAGACCATGGTCTACAAAATCTACATTTATGATACTCTCGCATTGGGCATATTGCATTCGGGCGATGCAACCATCAGCTGCCTCAAATCGACTTTTTCTTTTCATTCTCTTTCTCTCTCTCTCGCTTTGTTGTTGAGCAACGTTTTTTTCCCATTTTACATCTCTGCGAATTACCAAGGAAGAAAAAAAACAGCAACCGAAAGTTGCAACAACAGTAGCCAAAATGAACGGAACATGAAAATTATATGAAAAATAAATAGATTTTAATCAGCAAAAAAATCATTTTAATGGAGAAACAAATAAAATGCCAACACACACACACATGTTGGCGCATAGATACATATGCATAACATGAGTGGGAGACAGGGGCGAACAGTACTCGATGGAATTTGATTTGCAATATGAGAAACATTCGTTTTTTGACTGCATTCGATTTTTTTTCGCCATTAAAATAGAATCAACCCCAAACTGGCAAGAGTACGAGCACCGAGGATGTGCACAGTTTGTGTATGTATTTGTGTGCATTTAGCAAATATTAATGTAGCCCTGTTAAATTATACGAATTAAATTTTCCGCATTTTTTCGCCCCCTCTTTTTCGACGCCACACTATCTCGCCTGCCACATAACATTATGTAAATTGAAAATGTACAGACACACATACCGGCACTGTGTATATGTGTGTTACACACACACACACACCCAAAACAAATGCTAACAATGTTTGATGGAATAAAAAGCAAATTCGACTAATTTAAATTGAAAATTACGAGAAAAACTGTAATGAAATCATCCCATTGAATCATTGTTTATCAATACAGTAAAACTTCAAATAATTTATTTGATTTTCGGCATAAAGGCGTTAATTTATCTGATTTGCTAAAATCATTTTATCCATAAATGCGTGCGCGTGTGTGTTTGTGTGACAAATAAACATTTGTTCAATCAGTTAATGTTGTTCAACTGAATTGAGTAGCCCTTGGCCGTCTGCTTCAATGCTTCATATCTGGAAAATGCACCTATTGAATTACTAGTACAAATGATTCATTTAAAAATGTATCATTCTGTCCAACAAGATCGTTTACATGACGAAGGATGAAATGATAGAAAGAGTATAGAGTTCAGAGTGAACGAGAACAAAACACCCGTAAATTTGCGATCCAAATTATGAATAAAGAAACCGAATTCACGCGCCGAATTTGTACGCCATAAGTTGAAAATGAGCAAAGACTACATGCAAAGCCGTATTCAAGAAATCGACCTTGAACGGCATTTTTTTTGTTATAAAGTACACCAACGAATCGTTAAAAAAGCAAATGTAATACATAATTGCGAATCATTATTCGTTGAATATAAAATGTTACATTTGAACACCATGTCTATTGAATGAGAGAATAATTACTGCAAAAATTGCCTACATCGAATATAATATGGATATGAACATTGTGATAAATGGTATTGAGTGTCGGACGCTGATTTGTTTCTTTTTCTTCTTTGCTTCTTTTCAAAATCGTGTGTGCGTTTATTTTTGGATTTGGTTATGGCTATCAAATGCGTGCCAATAAAGTATATGCACAAAAAAAAACAAATGTTTTCATTCTCGCCCAGACAATCGGTGCCTTAAGTACGTGTATATCTTTGCTAAATTGTAAAGACCATTGTTTTGCCACTCAATTTTCGGCAGTCCGTAAATGTTTTCGCACAGCCAAAACAACGAAATCATCTATTGAAATTTATGCTGAATTTTGCATGCGAAACTAAGCCAATTTTTGGTACATGTTCCCATTAATCCAAGAGCCATTTATTTTACACACACATTGAGTGCCGAAACTCAACAATTCCGCAGTTTAGTCGGTGAGTCGACGCAATCAATCGAAACTTGATGAAAAGATATACACATTCAACATTAGATCATATGGTTTTGGAAATTTACTTGACGATGATCTTGACATTGAAGGTGACTTTTGGCATTCGGTGTTTTTTTTTATATATCTACATTCGCTTTTGTGTACTCGATTCGTTTTGTTATATACATGATGATGATGATGATGATGATGATCTGATGTGCTGAAAATAGATCGAACGCTAAGACAACAAGCGTGCTTACCTTAATTGTTGCTATAACAATGAATCGGTAATTTCGGTTACTTGAATATTATTTGCGACGTCGGTAGGCGTTTCGATTGAAAGCATATTAACGTCACAACGAAGACACGGTGTTCGAGTTTTGATTTTTTGTTTGCACTTTGACACTCTGTTACCGGGTTATCAATGCTTTGATAAAATTTCAATTAGCATTCATTTTATCGATCGTGCGTATTTCGAGCGATTTTACTTTTAATTCGCTTTTTTTCACGGGCACACTTCAAAGGTCTTTTGTAAGAAGTGGAAGCTATTTTCGTGGCTACTTCTGCTGATTGAATTGCGCATTGCAAATTATCTGCTAGGAAGTGTGTTAACTTTGATTCATCCTCTGCGTATAACGCTTGAAATGACTGTTTGATTTTAATAAATCGAGTCACCGTTGAATCGTGACAGTTACGTGAAACGAAATGTAAATTTATGCGCAAAATTCTTTTACCTCAAATGCTTGCACACTAAAAAGGCTACACAAAATTGAAAATCGTTGGCCAACACTTTTTTTGGCAATTTAAATTTTGCATACATAAAATTGATTGATATAATTGTCCGTATCGATTGATTGAATGGTCGATTTTTCGACATTATTTTTGTTCAGCTATTGAAAACTGACATATCATCTTGTCTAATTGGCAATGAACATTGAAATGAATGTTGTTGTTTTTTTTGTTCAAGTTAATTACTGCACTTGCACAACAATCGAATCGGAATCTACTTGACTGCCAAATGACATTGAAGAGTCCAGACACAATTGCTATGAGCCATTGTTTTAAGCAAACAGCGCCCAGAATTCAGAATCAGACGCAGTTTCACTTTTGATTTCAATCTATCAACCACATATTCAAAATAAAATCACTTTTCATTTCAACCGAATTGAAATATTGTGCATAGAATTCCGATGGACGGAAATACAAAGGTCGAGAGAGAAAAAAAAATTAAATTTCCATCAATCTCGTTGAAATGACACGACGATTTCCTAATAAATGGTAAGAACAAATGTTATGTAATCTATTTAACATTTGCAAAAACACGAAACCATATGTGATTGTGTGAAAACGACACGCTGTTTCGATATTATGAGCCAACAACAAAAAAATCCAAGATAAATAAATGTCAGTGTGAAGAACAAGTAGTCTGGACGATATCGAATCATTTTTTTTTCATCTCTGTTGTTTTCTGCATAGGCATAGACATATTTTCATGAAAAAAGATCCCTTCGTAGTATTGTGTGATTTGGCTGGCTGGCTGGCGTTCATTCATGTATCGAAAGTAAACAAACGGAAAGATAGCAGAGAAAAAAACCCATTTTGAGTGTCTGAAAAAGAATGAAAGCTTTTTTTTCTTCATCAAGTAAAGCCAACAAGAACATTTAGCCGCGAGTATACTGTACATAGACCAAGAGCAGGTAGTCTGGCCGATGAATGAGAGAAGACAATAAAAAAAACGTAACGAGAGTAAAACCGAGCGAGAGAAAAAAAATCCAATGAAAAAGACAGATACACAGAGACAGACAGAGAGAGTATTGTGTACTTGCCGACTTGGTTTTGGTTCACTTCTTTTTCATATTGCCTTGGTTCTTGTTTCATTCGGAATCGTAAACGTTGAGACAAAAAAGAGGCTGACGCCAACAAACAAAAACAATGAATTAGGGCAGATTTTTTGTTGTTGTTGTTGTTGTTGTTATTCTCCCATATCCTATGTTGTTGTTGCTCTATGTGTTCTCTCGCTCTCGTCTTGCGTGAACGGCAACCACATTGTACCACTACTACACACTAGAGAAAAAAAAATTCAAAACAAAATGAATCCAAAACGCCTAGAATGAATGAGGAAAAAAACAACGCAATTCCAATGCTCGTGTATAATCGTCAGCTGAAAACGAGAAATACTTTTACTTTTGTTGCTGCTGCTGAGAGACTGATCGAAAAAGTAGAAAAAAAAAGCCGGCGCGCGGAATCGCAGGTTCACTGCGAAAAAAGACTACCTCTTTTTATGCATGTAAAACGTTTTTTTTTTTGTTATATATGTATGTTTACTTTTTCAGTCGATGACGAAAAATCGTAAGCGCCATATTTTTTTCTCCGGCACTCACTTCTCTACCGATGCATTTGCATGCCTTTGAATGACACACACACACATGAGAAAAAAACAACGACAACGAACCGGCGATTTTTTTTATACAATCAATTAAATATTCATCTACAGTAAACGTTGTATGTACAGTTTTTTTCCAAATTTTTTTGCCCTTTAGTTTCATGATTCAAACACATTTCAACGATGAAAACGTCTATATATTGTTTTAACATCTAAATGTTATAACAAAAAATAATGTCAAGCACCCATGTAATAACTACACTTACTTTGACTTATTACACGGATAGTGAGTGATTCTTTTTTGCTACCATAATATTTAGATGTCAGGCCAGTCAGTTTTTTGTTGTATATAAATAAAATGCAAGTACGTGCTTACCTGAGGACACATCTTGCACTGGTAAGATCTTCCTAAAAAGACAAATATATTTTATTTTATAAAACAGAAAAAAATGCTTTTAAGAGGTTTACTTATTCTAAATAAAAAATGGATTATTACAATTCAAATTCATTCAATTCAATGTAAAAAAAGTTGACACACAGCCGATCAGTGAAATGATGCTCTTTCAATTCTATTTTTGGAATCTCATGCCGACACTGAAATCACAACAATGTTCAACTCTTTTCATACATATTTCCAGGAAAAGATTAATTCGCATGATTTTCATAAACAAGCGATAGCGTTCGAGTTCAATCATCAATATACAAACATGCATACATAAACAAATACATTTAGTCCCAAACAGAAATTTACAAAAATCTCTCGCCGCCAAACTGACCGAGATGACGAATAATCGCAAATGTATTAGGTTTCTGACAATAATGTGATAGCTGACTAGTTGTAAATCGGAAAATCGATTTTTCTCGCTTTTCCGATAGGAAAATGTGCTATAGGTACTCATCCTCGAGAACGATTTGGACCAGGTCGGATCCACCTGCTCCACAAAACAAAATTCCAGTTCATTTCATCTCACTCTCACGTATACATGCAGTTTGTTAGAAGAAGCACCAAATCCCGTACTGCCCGTGGACGTTTAAGGGACGAAATTTTCGTTATTTTTTCGATTTTCCCATCGGAAAAGCGAGAAAAATCGATTTTCCGTTTTTTGTGATTTTTATATGAAAATTGTATCGAAAATTGATTGTATCTCAAAACTAACGTCAGATTCGGTTGTCAATTTTAAAAGTGCTTAAAGATGTTCAAAATCGATTTGAAAAAAAAATCTTGGGTCTGGCGCAAAAGGGAAACGCATTTATTTTTTTTTTTTTTTTCAAAAATGTTGTCATAGTCGTATTTCCACGTGTTTCTATGACCATCCTAGAGAGTTTATGAGGGTACAATTTTTGATTCTCAATTCAATTTTTTTCTGTGTGATATTATTCTCGTAGGCTTCAAGAATAAATTAAATCAACTAAAATGCTAAATCAAAAGAAAAAAAACGCAATTTCTTTCCACTTAAAGCTGAAGATAAAACTTTTAATCATTGTTGTTTAATATGATATTTGTTATGATGAAAGTAATGAAATGCTTAAAAAAGTAACATATGAATTAATAGATCGCTTAAAGAGCGCTTCAAAAAATGTTTATGATGTATAAGAAAAGATCATTATTTTTGTATGTTATGGTTGTGATCACCAACAATTGCGAATAGTTGCACACCATTTATGATTCTTTCAAAAGCAATGGCCGGGCAATGAATTGTTCGGTGTTTAGTGCAAGGCCAATTTCCTTGATAATTCCCAGTAGCCACTTTTCTATGTCGATATGTGAATCCGTTGCACAAAAAATGTGTGCCTTTTTTTCCACCCGGTGTCCAATGATGTATGAAATCAGTTGGTGTTAGCTGCTTGCTGGGCCGTTGTTGGACCGTTGAGTTTTGTATTTTCACTGTGCGAATGGGTGCTGGGGCTGGAGTCGTTTCGTGAGAATGTGCTACGTTTTCGTCGTGAGGAACAAGCTTGAATTTCAATTCCCCATCCAATGTAAGGCAAGGATAAATGTATGCCTTGCAGTCAGGTACAGCACAAAGAAGTTTGTCCGACGAATTAAACCAGTCGGTATTAAAGACGTGATTGCTTACAACCATTTTCAAAATGCGAGGCCATTCTTGATTGGTTGCGAAACCCTCCTTGTGAGTTTCATTGTAGTATAAAGCGATTATTTCCTGTTCGATTGTGGTCAATTCGATTTTCTTCAGGAAGAATTGAATACGTGTTCCAAATCTACTAACTCTATACTGCCACATCAATTTCTCGGATATCGCTCGAGCAGAATGTTCAAAATGGAATGGTGTCATCCAGTATTTTTTGCCATCAGCAATTATTTCGACAACGTCTTCCACGTTCGGAATCGGAACTTCTTCCTTGAGCGTATTTATGTTATCGATGTAGGCTTGTATTTCTGCTGGAAGAATTGACGTTCGTTTTCGTTTTAATCCTCTCACCTGTTTTGCATACCACCCATGGGATTGTGGGTTATCATACTCGAGTTTACTAATCAAATCAGTTTCTGTGAACAAATAAATATCATGATGAAATCCATACGTATGAAATATTGAAAAAGATGCACCTTCTTCAGTGTACAGTATAAATTCGGCACCGTTTGCCATTGGTCGACCCTTCAAATTTAACGTTTGATTTATAATTGCGATGAATCGTTCATGATCCATTTCCAAATTGTCTTTATCATGCTCTTCGATGACATCAGCATTTATCGTTGCTTTTTCGATTGGTTGTACAAGACGTAGTTCACTCGAATTGTCTACAACCGGCACTGGCCATTGCCATTGCGATTGATCTAAAATTAATGTGATTAGTGACGTTTTGCTCTTAAACACCATTTGAAAAGTAGCAAACAGATTATTTTGTTTATTTAATTTTTTTTACCATAGTCGAATGGCTTGGCACCCGTTTCATTGTTCAAATCGGCAATCACGCTTGAACTGGGAATTGGTTTTCCTTGTTGATCCATAATTAATAGCACAACACAAAAAAATCAAACTGATTTTAATAATTTTGTTTTAAAAAACCGGATTGTACTTTTGATTTGTTTAATTAGACTTATTTTGCGTTGGTTTTTGTTGAGTCGAATGTAACGTGAATGTACTGCATTTGTGTTGCAAAATGGCATCGGACGATTTGCTCAAATGTCAATCTTCGTGTTCAACTCACGAGAAAACATGATTTTTCCTTAAGTCACGAACATGTGACTGATCAAATACATGTGAAAGCAACGATGCACACAGACGACGTTAAAAATGTCAAATAAAAGAGAGAGTGAGCGTTTGCATTTTAAAACATAAACCGAAACAACATCGTAGTTCTTAGTAGAGATCGGCAAATTCAATCTTCCAATTGGAGGCATTGTTTTTTTTTTTAACAATAACAACACTTAAGATAAGTTTCGACCCGAGTTCAGTTTGACAGTGAAACTGCTGAAGCAAAAGGAAATTATTTTAGTGTTTAGTAGAAACCGGCAAATATCATCCAATTGGAAGCATTGTGTTTTTTTTGTGACAATAACATAATTTAGAATGAGTTTCACCAGATCAAAATGTGTATGTCGCGAAAAAGGTTGTGTTGAAGTCATGGAATATTACAATCAAAGTGTTTATTTTGTCGTAACGGGACTCAACAGTGTGACATTTACATATGAAACATTTTCTCAATTTTAAATTTGTTTTTGTGTATTAAAAACAACAGAAACATATATAAAATTGATTAAAAGTTTCACACACCATCAATCTGTGAGTGGATAGTAGCGTTTCGTTTCATCATAAATAGTGCATTTATTGTGTTCATTTGTCGCATCAGAAGTTCATCGAGAGAAAGCATATACACCCAATTCACAGTCAATTAAATTCATATTTTTCCAATCATTTTTTTTGCATTTTTTTGTGCTTCAGCCACACGAAATGAAGAAATTTTTTAAGGTTATTCCATCAAAAGGTGGCAGTAGTGGTGGCAGCGGTGGTGGCAGCAAACGACCATCGGGAGCTTCATCATCGACACCCTTACCAACAAAACGTAACCAATCGATGGTGACAACAGATGATCTCGAAGTTATGGCGAATATTGACAAGTATTTTCCGCGAAGCGCAAATGAAATGAAGAAGAAATGGCAGCACTTTGAAGGTATTTTTAAAACTATTCTTTTCCAAACTCAATTCTTTTCTATCTCTAACTCTCTCTCTCTTTTTTCCTTAGCATACACAAGTATACTTCTCTTCAGTGAAATTGTTGAGGAAGGTCAGTTAGAGTGTCGAAACTGGATAGCAAAAAAGAAAGAAATCAGATCAAATGCAGCCATATACTTCATAATCAAACGAGAAGATCACAGCGAGATGGAAAATTTCAAAGTGAGCAGCACCTTCAATCGTGCTCTGAAGGAGAAAATGCTTACAATCAAATTGATGTGTTGCTACGTGTATGCCGGAAAAGATTCCGATGGTACCCGATGGGGTGGTCATTTTACCCAATGTTCATCATCAATCGACGCTTGGCTAACAAAACGCCGAATCAAAGGATACAAAGACGTGGCTTACTATGTAAAACCACACAATGTTCAGGCTTTCTTTCCCGCGTATGAAAGCATCACGATCGACACAATGCGACGGGTATCCGCAAAACCATTGAACATTGCCAGTGGTGAAGCCATCAGCACGACAATTGCAACTGGCCACAAATCCACAAACGACATGAAGACATTATCGTACATTCTCCACACTGCCAGCAACAAACCGGAATTCAAATTCACTACAAACGACCACGTCAAGAAAACCCAAGCCGCAATACCTGATTCAACGCGCGTTCTCATGGAGTTAGTGCCGTCCCTGAAAAATTTGTTGAAGCAAGATCTCCCGCATGAAGAAACCGTAGAGAATTTACGGAAAATTGTTTCCGAAATTGGGCCACTCGAACTCATTGATGGCGTACCATGCAAAATACGCGATTAACTCTTCCGTAAACCCACTGTGCTTACAATTTCGATTTTTTTTAGCGTAAATTTTTGTTTTGTGTTACATTCTTTCACATTCAAAAGTACACAGTCGTTAGTAGACGTGCAATCAATATGATTTTTGTCATTTTCTTTCGAATATTTTTTTAACCTTAATTTTTTGTTTTGTGTTACATCCTTTCACATTGAAAAGTACACAGTCGTTAGTAGACGTGCAATCAGTATGATTTTTGTCATTTTCTTTACATGAATAAATGTAAAATCAAAATATAAAATTTGTTGATTTAATTCATTCTAAGAATAAGAAGAAATATAAGAAGAAATATATTATTAAAAATAAGAAGAAATATATTATTTTATAATACAGAAAAAGATTCTTTTAATATGTTTCCATATTCTAAATAAAAAATGGATTATTACTATTCAAATTCATTCCATTCATTGTAAAAACAGTTTTTTTCTACTTACGTCCTGTGCCTGGCCCATTTGCAAGCGATGAACCAATTTTCGTGGCATTTATTGGCTGTGGAACGACAAGCAATGCAGCCGGCGTATTTGCATGACCATGTGACAATCCACCGATTCCTGGTGGGCCTAAACCAGAATTACCCACATTGTGCACACCGATACCACCCGGCGATGAACTATTTGACGAATTTGATCGTAATGCACCAGCTGCACCATAAATTGCCATATGATTTTGACCGGCTTGATGATGATCGAGACGTCCATCGTCAAGAATGTGTCCTACATTCAATGCGAGACCAATTTAAAAGAAATTATTCAATGCGATTAATAAAACATTAGCATTCATTTGAATTGTTAAACTAAAGCAATCACAACTCGACAAAAAAAAACATTGTATATGTGTTTTTACATTGCCTACTTTACGGAGTTTTTATCGGAATTGCCTTTATGTGAAAATCACAAGTGAATTTCGATTGGTATATAAATAGCCGTCGAGCCAATTTCATTTATTGCACTTGATGTCGAAATATTTTGCTGACGAAACGTGACTGGTTTGGTTTTCATGGTACACTTTTGATATGCTAGCATATGTGCGTAAATTGAACTCGAATTCCATTCACTTTTGCACATTTTACACAAATTACGCTCAATCATATCGTTTCTCATACTAATTATGTGTTTGAATTTTCATTGAATCGATTTCAATTGGACGGCAAATATTTCAAAACAGTTTTAGCAATGATATGCGTGCTATTATGCTATAAATTCAATGAATATACGATTCTCTTTTAAGATTTATTGCGATTTGTGGCATTTAGCATAGGCCAATTTTCCATTTGATTTCGATTGTTTTGAACTGGTCATTTTTTTTATTTCAGAGACAATGTTGAATAGAAATGAATTTACAGCTTACTTTATTGTCACTTGTGTTGCAGAATAAAATATGCACACACGTATTTTCCACAAGAAAAATACGATAAATGTAAGTTATTTGAAATATTTCAAATGAAAAAAAAATTGAAATTATTTTTTTTTCCCAAATTGATAAAAAAAATTGAAAATTAAAAATTAAATGAAAAAATCGATAAAATACTCTGTGACATAAATAAAAAGAAAATAAAATGTGAAAAAAGAAATAAAAAAAAATTTGGTTTCCTTCGAATCGGAATCGAACCGATGACAAATGGATTTCAATGCTATGCCACTACAGTCCACTGCTCTACCAACTGAGCTACCGAAGGTTATGGATACCGATTGTCAGAGAGTGTACATAACGCCTCGTGCATATTAAATCTATATCTTTCTTGCACACGTCACAAAATGTTAAACGATTTTTTTCTTCGCGTATATTTATATTACCGATGTTGCCAAGCCAAAATTGATAATTAACTTCATCGCAATAAGATTGTTGTAAACCATGACCTATCAATTGGGATAACAGCTCTTTATCAATCTATCGATTGCTGTTAGAATTCTCTCAACGAATTTCATCCGTAAATTCTCTTAAAATTTTGTTTGTAAAAGTAATTTTGAAAGTTTATGTGTTGGAAGAAAAAAGTGAAAGGAAGAGAACACTCTTGTCGGTTTGCTCTACATGTGATATCAAACGTATCATTGAAAACGTACGACTAATACTCGTCTACGACTTTTGAATATCAAAATAAGCTAAATTCAATTCACTTGTGATTTTTTCGCTCTTAACAAAAAAAAAACTTCTTTGTAAAACTTCTTGTGTCGAATTCCAGCATTTTTCTTTTCAGTGTGTATGTGTTTTGTTATTTTTATTCACCTTTTTGCAAATTGTTTGGATGATGATCATTCATTTTGGCCTGGATAAAAGAAAAGAAAAGTGTGATAAAAAAACGCGGTGTAAATTTCTGATGGTTTTCGAAAATAGTTTGAAACTATTTGAAAAGGTACTTACCTCATAGCCTTGTTTCATGGTCATATGATTTCTGGGTGCTGGCCAGCCACCGTAGTCAATCTCTTTTACATGTTGTCCGCATTGCTGTGAACATAAATAACGCGAAGAATTTTATAACATTTTTTTTTTAAATCAACATCGAATGCATGCAATTTCATGAAAAAATATTTCAATTCGGATTGTTTGACCTGCACAAGTATAATGACATTTATTTCAGCTGGTACAATTTACAGTCACAACAATACACATAATTCATAAAAGAGCCAGGAATTCATATGCAGATATTCGGGCAAAAAACTAGGGGAAATACGTGGCAAGTGTAAGTCGGCCATGTAATATGATAGTAATGCATGCATCTCGTCTGACTTGTATTGATTTTCCAATTTGTCGATAGAGCATTTTTCCTTGATGTTAACGACGTTGATGACAACGATGATTGCTACCGCCGCCGCCACCACCACCGACAACGACGCGCCGATGCACTCAAGCCGACGGTTAAATATGTTTTGTAATGTACTGGGCGGAATAATACTCTTTTTTTTCTTCGAAGTATGTTCACAAAACATTTCACCACACACAATACACAAGACACAAGACAAGTAAATTTGTGTACTGGATATATTCGACGGGCATGTTTTTGGGGGAAGTGAACACGCGTTGTCAATATTTGACGATTGCAAACTTTTTTTTTGTTCGTATCTTGTTTTATTCTTCAATTCTCTCGCAATGCGAGCAAAACTAAGAAGAAAGAACGATGGCAGAAAAAAAAACTTTTCCATCCGAACCGGTAGATGTATTTGTTTAGTGTGCGCTATATGTGCTGGGGTTCGCTCGCGCGCGCAGTAACACATAAAAAAAGCGTTTTTATTTTGATTGAACATGGTGAAGAAACTAGATAAAGCAAAGAATTTATCCATGTATGCGGAAGCGCAGCTAGACACACACACACATGTATATATATATAAAGAAATAAGCAAGCAAATCAATTTTATTTATATATAGTTCATGTTTTCAAAAGCGAACACAAGTGAGCTTCTTTTGTGCTCTATTTTTGCTTTTCTCGTTCTTTTTTCTTCCTCTTCTCCGTGAGATCCCTGTTTTTTGTGTCTTTGATACAACGAACAAAAAAACTATGAAGGAAAATCGAAAGAATGAGATGAGCAAAAAAATAAATAGAAGTGAAGAGCGAGAAAGAACTAAATGTTTCATGTGCGCTATTCATCTTTATGCATTGCATTTTTCAAAAATGTTGCCACACAAACGAAAAGTACCTTATTGAATCATTTGAACTGCATTTCGTATTGAAGTTCATTTTTGTGTTCAATTTCTTGCTATCGTATCTATCTGTGTATTGCAAAAAAAAAATCTACTTTCACGGATTGCACGAATGCAATCAACAAAAGACGGATTCCATGCAAACATAAAAGACTGCATATGCCATAAGGGTGAAATGCAAAAGCTGATGCCATTTTTAAAAATCGTCGATGAATCAACGGAAATGCGATGTCAAACATTCGAATATTTGAAAATAATTTTCGGGGAAATGCATGTCCATTTTTTTCTCTATTTCTTTTCCATTCGAAAATATGCTCCGAAGACCTTTCGATGAAAAAAAAAAACACCAACGAACAAAGAGAGAAAGGAAAATAAACTTACATCGACACCACCGTTCCACATGTAATGCATGCCGACTGTTGGATCATGATGCGAATTCGATGTCATATGCTCTGCCATAACTGCGCTCATCCAATGGACAAGACCTTGCGTTGGATTCTGCGACTGTACACCTCCAACAGGCATTGTGCTGATTAATGCTACTCCAAAAACGAAGAGAAACAAAGGGAAGAAAAAAACAAGGGCTCATCAAAAATGTATTCAATTTACTTAAACTATTTTTTGAATGTGTTTGTGTGGTGGTTGTCGGTTGTCTTGTTACATTTCGACCGAGTCAAATGCTTGCAATACTCACGATTCACTGTTGATGATACTGATGTCGTCACTATTGACGTTGAATTGTCGTCGCTTCCGATTTGCGTTGAATTATTACCGTTGTGCGGTTGTGGACTTGTTATATGGTTATTTCCACTGTTTACCGAACTGTTATTATTGTTTGTCTCAGTGTTATTATTATTGAGACCGTTCAAGTTATTCTCCGATGCACTCCAAGGGAATGACGGGGTTGCTGACTTCTATTTATGAAAAAACGACACAACAGATACATTCAATTAGACTGGGCATTGAATTATTGAACTAGAGCTACAGTTGAAAATTATATTTTTAGAATTGAAAGAAAAAAAACATTGCTTCACACAAATCACAAACATCAAGGATGGATTTATTTTTAATGAATATTTTTTCCTCCATTTCATAAGAATGTGGATGAAAAACATCTAATTACAACCCCATAGTTGACATGATCACTTCCTTTCTGCGTCATACATATCTATCAACAAAACTAACCTCAGTGGTAATCGAGGGTTTTTCATCGTGGTCAAAGTCTGGAGAATTTGGCGATTTGTCTGAATATGAAAATAATAAATTGCGCGGAAATGGATGTGAACACATTTTATCCGGACTATGTAGTACAGCATTGGCAAATAAACTTTTATACAACTGAGCAGGCAAAAGAAACGGTGACGATTTGCTTGAATTAAATGAACTATTGTTGCTTGAGTTAGCTGTCGTTGAGGTATTTCCTTGTTGGCTAACGGTACTATTGCTACTTGTTGTATTTGGCGAATAGTGTGGATGATGATGATGGTGATGATGATGATGATGGTGTCCATGATGTGGCGCTGGTGAAATGCCACCACTCGTTACAGTTGTTGTCGGCAAACATTCGTTGGACATTTGACTTGCATGCGAATGATAACCGTAAAAAGCGGCCGACAAACCATGATGTGGTATTGAAAAACCGCCCATATCTTTGCGATAGTTGCCATTTGATGAAGCCGCTGCTGCAGCGCTCAAGTGATGAGCATTCAAACGAGACAAATTCGTTAAAATGCTGCTCGTTGCTGTGGCCGCTGCCGCAATTGAATTTGCTTTAAATGCCGGTGTTGTTGCTGTTGTTGGGGTGGTTGAATTTCCCGCTGAATCATCATCAAAATCGTCGGGCGATGAAGCTGCCGAGCTAGCATTGCTATTGCCACTGACGACGTTATCGATAAATGCACTCGACGAATGATTGGGATTCTCTTTGCCCAGTAACGTCGACATATATGTATCGTAAAATCGTTAAAAAAAATTTCCCTCTGCACGCAATTCACAACGAATTTACTATTTTTTTATGATAAAATCGAATTCGGAAAAACAGATTGGCACATATTATCGGCTTGATTTTATCTCCGTTTGGTTTTTTTTTTAATTCTTCCTCTCTGTTTCTCTATCCCCCTTTGAAATTCACGAGAGATTTCAATTGATGGGTGATGAACAAAATACTTTTTTTTCGATAAATATCACATTTTATTCGAATGATTGCATCGTTTTGTAATCATTTTAATTTTTGGCACCATTTTAAGTGTTATTTTTCAGTGTTGTTTAAATACAAACTTTGGATATATCATAAAATATGAATCTTTTTATCTCTCTTTTTCTATCTTTTTCTACTTGTGTACCATGTTGCACACCATTTACAATATTACTCTACTTTAATAAATTTTGTTGTTGTAATAAATACTTTTTTTACACGAAGAAAGTTTCATTTTTTTGAAAATGGAAAAAATGACAAAAGCACATTTGAATAGGAACATCGGTTACATTATAGCCGCATTGCAATCACACTTGCTGGATCACATGCGTGCTACAAACTGTTTGCGTCACTTTTATGAACAAACAGCTTTCAAGATTGTAATCATATTTTTGTTATTTGCATTTATTTTATGTTTTACTTAGGAACTTTGGCATCGTCGAATAAACAATCGGACCATCGGTGTTTCCGTAATCCTTTTAGGTCTTTTCAAATGAAACTGATACACTTTTCATTGAGATGAGTTGAAAATCCATTGAAAATTTGAATCTCCTTTCCATTTTTTAGGACGATTGTTTCGCCATTCACTCAGCGCACAGATCACGTGATTTTAAATTTTTGAATAACATTTCGGTTACAAAACTTATTGTTGAAATCCAAAAAAATCCATAATATTTCCATGAACTTGATAGAAAAAACAATTAAACGGCGTTTGCACTTGCACTAAAATGAGAATTGTAAATTTTTTGTGATGTTGCACACACTAAACTGAAAATGTCGATAACGTCTACGAGTCAAATAAAAACTGAACCAAACCGATAGTCACAATGAACTGATTCGTCAAGACGATAAACTGTGAACACACACGCTCACTTACGCCGAGGGAAATGAATCGAAAAACCGAAATGAACGATAGTGGAAATCGAGTGCAACAATAGGAATTCGGTGGTAAAATCACATAAATTGAGATGACTGTGTGTTTTTTTACGTTTATTCTTTTTAATCTTTTGGGTTGTTATTCTTTTTGTGTGTGGACGCGCGCGCGAGAGACATATAAACATGTATATGTATCGAACGAAAAGTAATTGCACGCGCGATAAATTAATGTGTGTTGTGTATTGAGTGACGATATGATCGAATGGTAAAAAGCATCATCATATCGTGTGTGTCGAAAGGCGCGCGCGAGAGACCACAACAAACCGTACAAACGCACCAAAAAAGACTACCGACTTCTGGTTTTCTTCAACAGACAAAATGCAATGATATTATTTTTTCGCTCGCTCGCTCCCTTGACATGCAATTTTTCCTATATATATATATATTTTCTTTTTTTTTCTTCTCGACTCTCATTCAACTGCTTCGACTTCTTTTTCTTTCTCTGTTCATATTTCTTCTTCGCTTTTTACTTCTTTTCTATTCTTTGTGCGAGCGAGTGAGTGAGAGATTGTGCAGAGAGTATGTATGTGGTTCTATATGAAATGCTAGTGGGTATACATATATAGATGTTTGTATGTTCTCTTTGTATTCGAATTGATCTCGTGTATGTAGTAGATGTGTGTTCCGTATGCCATGCATGGGTTGTTGGGGGGTGCCCAGGAGTGACGAGGTGAGTTGAATGAAGGCGAGCGGCATCAAAACGACACATACAGAGAATGAGAGGAAGCAAAGCAAAGCGAACAAAAAAAAACACGGAAAAATAATAATAGTAATAATAAATACATACGGTTTTTCAGACGATTTTCTTTTCTTCGTCGTCATTTTCTTTTCTCGGGATATAGTCGCGCGCGCGAGAGAACGAGAGTGAGATTTTCTCTTTGCCGCGCGCGTTCGCCTGCCAAAGCAGTTTCGTTAGAATTCGTCTTTTTCCCGTTTCTCCCGATTTTTTTTTTATCATTTTCATTCGCCGTCTATCTTGCATTCTTTTTTTTTTCATTTCGTTTCTTTATTTCATTCTTCTTCTTCCTCTTCTGCGTTCAACAAATGTAATCTATCGCATGTATGTAGTTTTTATGCACGCCACACACATATTTACCCTACATACACTCACTCGCCGAACAACGAAAAACCCAAAGAACTCATTCGATTCCTTATGGCGTATGCATGTGCGCCTCCGTACATTTTCCACCATACACATAGCTTAAGCCATCATATGCACATCTTTCAACTAGCACCAAAGCTTAAAATGCATAACAACAACAAGACAAGCTTGAACAAAAAAAATACACGAAATACAAACAACAACAACAGAAGCGGCAACAGCGGCACAAGCAACCAACGACGTTGAATAACGGTTATTTTTCTTTCACTACTTACTTTCCACACTTTTTTTTAGCTTTCGCTCATATTGTTGCCGCTGCTGTTGCTGCTCCTCCAAATGTGTATGGGTGCTTTTTCTTATTTGTTCCTTTCTTTGCTTTCATTTCTTCCTTCAATTTCTGTTCGTTTTTTTCTGCGTCCTTTTCGAAGTGCTTTTTTTGTCTCTCTCTCTCACTCTCTCTAAGAACAGCACCCGCCGCTGTACTACTTCCTTTTTATTATTGACATTGTTGTTGTTGTTGATATTATTATAGCTTTTTTTCTCTATCCTGTTTGGCTAGTAGCATGTGCATCACTATCACAACGGAACATATTCCACATATGAAAGAGACAGCGCGCATAGAAAAAAGCATGCGAGGGAACGAACAAGAGAAAGAAAGTGTTTTTTGTGCATAAAAAAAACTACACAACAACTACCCGCCATATAAACTAAAATGGGATTCGATACGTAAATCGTATTTGTTTGTTGTATGCGAGAGAAACGGCAAAATGAATGAGTGAAAGAGGAGCAACGAGCAAAAGCTTCACCATTTTCTTCATGCACACTCTTATACAAAAGGCAAATAAAAACCAAATTGAAAAGAAGACACAATAGTAAAGGAGCTGAAGCAACGACAGCAAAAACGACGAATATCGAAAATATACATCTTTTTTTTCGTTCATTCGTTCTTCTTCTTCTTCTACATTTGCGCGAAAGAAATAGAAACGAATACAAACGGGAATCAGCCACATACGAATGCTATATGAGTGTTATTGCGACGATTTTTTCTCTCTCTCTGTTCTCATTTCTTTCGTACGTTCCTTTTTTATTCTTTTTGTTCTTATCTTCATCCGATCGTTCACGACTAACGACGTGAGAATGGGTATGAAGATTGAATGCATCTTACGACGCAGAAAACCACTCTATCTCTCTCTTTTTCTTTCGCCAAAGCACCAGGCGCTAAACGCGAAACGAACCAAACCAATAAAATATAAGGAGCTATAAGGAAACGAAATGACACATATAAAAAAAATAATTCGCGCGCTCATGTGTTGGTGCGTATGGAGAATGATTCTTTTTTTTCATTCGGTGTCCATTGCACATCACTCTTATTTCAATGCATTGCACTCTCGTTTCATCCATTTTCAATTTTTCGTTTCAAACTTCCTTTTTTTTCATTTATTTTACATCGTATGCGTCCCTTTTTTCACTTTTTTTCAACGCTAAAAAACCTAGGGGGAATTATCTATATGTTTATACGGTTTATACGCAAGTATTTTTTACTGAATATACTACAAATAGATGAAGACATCGCAAGTATGCCGCTTATACGCTGCATATTTGCGTATAAACCACATATATACGGAGTTATTTGCAAATATTATTTGCAAATATTCTTCCGTATATGCGGTTTATATTCTTATACGCAGCATATTCGTAACTTATTTTATTCGATATTTTCCCCTAGTAAAAAACTGAACGTCAGATGAAATGGAATCAAACGATTGAAGGAAATATATATAAGAAAAAAAAAGAAGCTGAAACACACAACGGATCGGATATGTATGAAAAGAAAATAGGAAATGCGATTCGATGAAAAAGTGAGACAAATGTCGATTCAATATCTATCAGTCGCGAGAATGCAGCGAGACAACTCATACCAAACCGAATCGAGGTAGACCGCCTTATGCACAGGTAAGCAAACGCGCCCGCGTCACGGGATATTTAATATCAACATACATACAGCGAACAAGTATTTCTTTCTTTTTTTTTTTGGCAAAAGAAAGTAAATTCCAAGGAAACATCGATCAATGAAACCATGAAACGTTCGCTTTGCAATGAATCTCTCGCCAATTGACATTAAATGCAGCCATTAAAAAAGAGAGAGCATGTAATAAAATCAACCGAAGGAGAGATTGAATAAGAGATAAAAGTTGAAATGGACAAAAAGTAATAGACGAGAGAGGCGAATTGCAAAGAAAGTCCTTTGAATGAGCCTAAAAGGAATAAAACTCCATTGAATGGGCCTTTCTGTGAAATAAGATTTTTGCGTGGAATTTTTGATCCGTTACGACATTTCCAGATGAAATGATGACACAACAAAAAAAAAAGTGCATATTGTGTGCGCATAAAAGATTCATTTGAAAATGATATAGCTCTATTTATTTTTCGATGCATCGAAGAAGCGAAAGAAGACCAAGTTAAAGGCCAGCAAATGTACTTTACGATAATAAAGAAACGTTGATTGACGCAAATTCATTTGCAACATCAAATTTATTAGAGGCACTCAAAGCTCTAGATACCCCGCATAGTTGGAAATGCCATGAATATACGCATAAGCAAAACGGTAGCAGAGACGATGTGCTTTCAATCGCGAGAACAACTCAGATAAATTCCATTCATTTTCTAAAAAAGCGATTTTTCGTTATTGTGATGCTAAATCTCTTCATCAGCTGCTGCATATTACAGTAATTCCGTTCATTTCGACACAATTCCAAAGCTTTGAGTTAATAAAAAAACACAACTGTTCTTCCACCCGATATAATCACTATGAGTAAGCAAATTTCTTCCAATTATGAACAATTACATCCGAATCGCACACTTTTTTTTTTGTTTTTCGCCTCAAACTGGTGAGCTGTTGAAGGTAAACGAATCAAATCCAAAATGACTTCCGAGATTGAAGTGCTGAAAAAATTTGCTGGAAATGAAAAAGGAAATGTGTACCGCTCAACATGCCTCACCAATTCAATGGCATGCATTTACCGAAAGAAACGAAATATCAACGAGATTTTTTCCTCACTATGGTGCTGTGCGCGGTGAATTGTTTTTATATTTTTCCTACTCGACTCGATTTTCCATTTTTGCTTCGGTTTTTTTTGTTTGTTTGTTCTTTCTGCGACGACGGTCTTTTTGTTCGTTCAAAATCGCTCCTACATATATTTGACTTGGAGCAAACACACAAAGCTACCTTCCGAGAAGTAACCGAATGAGAAATGCATGACAGACACACACACACACACACACTTTTAGTATACCAAGTCGAATAAGTCGATCTTTTATGGTTTAATCAACCATTTTACAATGCACACGTATGCATTCGTAAAAATGTCCAGTACGGGGGCATTCCGTGTGCCATTCGTTGCGTTTGATAGAAACACCATTGTAAAATTTTTATTTGTTTTCCGTTTTTCATTTTGTTTGTTAAATGCTTTCTCCTTTTCATTTTTTTTTTCATCATTTCTTGTGGTAAATAACGTTTCAACGATACTTCGAAAGAAACGAAGCTCAAATAACAAAATATAGTCAAACACAAGAAATTGATGCTCACGTGTTTACTCTCGTTGAATGTTTTGGAGTGTAGTGTTTTCCGTTTGCTTTGCTCGCATCAATATTCGCATTTACTGATGGGTTTTTTTATATTGCATTTTCTTCTACGCATTTCATTGACGCTGATACGCAAAAACTTTTCGCTTAGGGTAGGTCTCGCACGACAATAAACAAATATTCATGTGTTTTCTTCGAAACTTTCCCCAGATGACTTGATGATTATATGACGCGAGATAATTTCGTCTTTGTTTTTTATGACGGCGGAGGAGTTGAGTGTTCGATGGAAAAAAAGAGTGTTTTTTTTTATTCGTCGGTCAATTCTGACACGAAATTCACATTTAATGGCAGATTTGTGTGCCATTGATGCGATCTGTATGTTTTCCGTTTGTGATGCATTTTTCCCTGAGAATGTAACAATAGCAACAACTGTGCTCGCTACCGTTTTCTTGCATTTTCATTGTTTGTGCTCCTTTTTTCTCGA